CCCGTCACCTCGTCTTAGCTACGTATCTTCAGTGTTTGCAACCGGTTCTGTCGACAGCTGCCTACCACTAATCCTCATTGAGCAATTCATTACTACCTTACTTATTCTCACTCGAGTGATTTATTACTAACACCGTAAAAAAGTGACTCCAGATGCATACAAAAAAGCGTAAGCTTCAAGGAGGGACAATGATGAAAAAATAATCTACACTTCTTATGTTACTTAAATCGTTCACTATTATAGAAATACCAGGGACTCAAAAAATTCGAAATAATTTGTGTAGGCTGATTCCGACTGCCTACTTTTTAACGTTCCCGTTGCTCTTGTCTGCGACATCGAGCTCAGGTGGGTGAGAGAGGGAAGATTGCAGTAGATGCCGCGCAAGTCTATCACTGGAGACGAATTCACGCGCATGCTATTTTTCCTACGTCCATGTTGCTGTTGGCCCCACAGTAGACCTCGTCGGTGACGACGGCAGGACTGTTAAGTCACTAGTGGGTGAACTTTCCATTCGTCCTTAACAATGATCAGTTTGCACATGCGGCAACCTGCTGTCACGTCGAGAAATGCTGAATTAGCGCATCCTCCTTCTCCTCCTCATCATGGTTACTGTATTCGTCATCCAAAGGCCAACATACAAGTAATGCCGTGTCTGCGGTTGTTTTGATCTCCCTCCGGTCTTTTCATCCGTGCCTTTCCATAACTTGTGACTATACTATTTTTGTGTTTTTTTTTTCAGGACACTGACCGTGTCGACTCTTCCTCAGTCCCAGAATGGAGTGGAAATCACAGCTACACCACCACCCAGTTTCTCATGTAAGCTTCTCTCTTTTACCGGTTAAATGCACCCTAGCGTTTCTGTCACGTTTACTCCGTCTCATTTGCACCAAATGCCCTTTACAGCACCCGGAGCCCTTTAAAATTACCTCTTGTTGGGCATGTTCTCCTGCAGGTGCTACAGAGCAAGCAAACTTTGTGTTCGTCAGGGCTTGGGTGGTATTTCTCCTCAAGCACACAGCTTTCTGGCACATACTTGTTTCCATTTACTGTTGCCGTAGACCCCAGAGTGGTTTTAAAAAGCCGCTGGACGTTGTTTCGGTACCCTAAAGCGGTCCGAAATGCCCTCCACGTCATCTCTTCTGGATGGAAGGTTTTGCGAAAACACACACCGGTTTATGCGAGTTTGTCCCCAAGTACCTGTGATGAACTCTGCACACCCCTCAGCCAAACCACACAGCACCCGAAGACAACACCAGCCACCAGTGGCTGGAATAATTTACAGTTTTACTGTCCAGTTTCGAGGATACCCACCGCGTATTTCAGGATAGGTGGGAAGTAGGCATGGTGACTTGCGCGTGAATTAGATTATAGTGAGAGTAGACTTGCGATGCATCTACCACACTCTGCT